GCGGCGTGCACGCTGCCCACGCCCACCCAGACGCAGGCGAGCTCATGTGGGTGGTGCAAGGCACGATTAAGGTAGGGTTCGTCGATAACCGTAACGTCACAGTTGAATCGACGATTAGGGCTCCCGATATGTTTGTGTTTCCTAAAGGGGTTGTGCATTTTGAGGCGAATGCGAACGATACCGATATTGCTACGGCGATCAGTATGTTTGGTAACGCAGCTCCGAGTACCGTAGCTCATGATGATAAGTCAGCTATGAAAGAGAAAGAGAGGGTCAGCATCATGGCACTGGAGAAGCCAAAGGGACCGAAATGCTTCCTATTTATTTGCCTTCCCTCTCCTCCATTTTAAGAATCAAGGGTTATAGACTCCTTGTGTAGTTGTTTACTAGCGTTGCAAGTGCTCTTTGATTTGTAGTTCTACTGAGAAGTTCATTTTATGTAACTCGAGGGTTTGGAAGATCATATCAATTATATCTCCTTGTGCATTTAGCTGGACGATTGTTTATCCTTGTGTATTTACTGATGAATCATCGAGTCACATGAAACAGTGAGGATTGCCTATTTTGCTAGGTTTCAAGCTTGTATTTTGACATTTAGATTTCCAGTGCTCTCTTTGTTTAGAACGGGTCGTGTGACTCTTATAATTGGAACTAACCTTATGTCCTAAATATTTTTCGTAAATCAATAGTAATACAAGAACAAAAAACCTTGACCTAATTTTTTCGGCTTGGCGACTTGAATCCTATACTTCCATTCAATTTGGTGCCTTATTAAACTACCACTGCCATTATCCCTCTTAGTTGCTTCGGACCAAGTTCTCTAGAGCCATATCTTGTCCTCTTTCATCCATTAATTATAATTCTCACCTCTCCGAGTTGGTGCATATTTAATAAGCAAGAAACCCTAAAGTGTTCTCTCCATGTACCTAAAATTTTGAGTTTCTTTTGTTATTACTTACTACAAACCTCATTTAGTTAATGTTTCTGAAATATATTTTTTCCACCGTCCGAGCACAACAGCATATAATAAAAATCAATCTGCGTCACTCTAGCTATAATTAAAAAAAAGTTTTTAACTCCTGAAGAAGATTTCTTATTCAAAATATTGTCATTTGCTATCAGGTGAGAATCAGCTGATATGGTCCTCGTAATAATACAAATCACTCACCTTCATCACCGTGAATATGGCGCTCTATCTTAGAACTTGGCAAGCAATCACAGTGGGTTTCGGTTCACATCCTTGTATAATAAATATCTGGACCTTGTTTTACCTAGAGCAGCATACCTGAAAATTTAAGTAGAGTTAATATTTTGAGGCAGGAAAATTTCAAGACTATGCAATAACAAATGAAGTACATACTCCATACCATTGAGGAACAAAAGGTGCCATCCAAATCGCATCCCCTGCTTGTACCGGGTACCTGACAAGCATGAGAATAATAGGTGCACAATATTATGACCAATTTACCAGCTGAAGTATAAAATTTTGAGTAAAATCAATAAGATAGGGTAAAATCTACATCATCATCTCCACAAATTTTGTTGTTTTCTTATGGGTGTTATTTGAATCTAAAATCAATTTGACAACTAGGTGTGATGAAAACGGAAACAAACACGGAGAAGATAGTGAAGAAATATGGCAGGAAAAACTTATAGAGGGCCCTCTACAGGATACCGTTTAGGGAAAAAGGAGAGGGTGCCACCAATTACGTCGTGAATTTTTAAGTACATATCCCTAACGTCTGTCAGTGCAAACACTATTGTCTATCACTACAGTTGTGACTTCACTGTTTATGATTGCACTGATAGGTCAGGTGTCATCCTCTCTTTACGGACATATCACTAATGTCCATCAGTGCAAACACTATTGTCTATCACTGCCGTTGTGACTGCACTGATAATAATTGCAGTGATATGTCAAGGGTCACCTTCTCTTTCCTCCCCATACAGTATTCTAGAGGTTATCCTCTATAGGAGTTTTATTCAACATATGATCTACTTGAGTGCAGAGCACAGAAACAGTAATGAGATATTGATGTGGCAGCGTATGGACAGATATGACATGTCCAAAAATTAGGACACAGGTACTGTAGGGATATAGCAAAAATTATACAACAAATGCATGTAGACACAAACATACGCAATGCATGAATATGAATGCTTTTAAGGATTAGTTGTCTCATTTGCTTCGCCAAGTTGGATTGTTCCTGTCCCTGCTTCTTAACATATGGCTTCAAACTGCCACTTTATAGGCATGATAACATTTAAAAGGAAGCCCATACTTAAGAGTTTGCAAAATGGTTTCCACTGAATTTAGCAGAATCAAACATATACACAGCAGAAAGTAACTCAGTTTGTTAAACATGCATAAATCTCCAAAGTGCTAGCTTATATCCACACATGAATAATAGAAAGCATGATTTTGTAGCATTACTCTCTAGGCTAAGTCAGATCACATTCTTACCAGCTGTCAGCCAAGCGATATATTCCTTGTCCCTCTAAAAGAAGCAAGCCATGCTGGTTATAATGGACCTCCTGGAACAATAAGCAACATAAAGAAGCAGTTGTACTGTAGAAACATGTTTCGAACATAAATTTAGGTAACCTTAGGACTATAGTAAATTTGTACATGTTGTCACTTTGGAAAGTAGAAGCATGTTCTTGCAATTTGGAGTGGCTGCTGTGAGCTGCACGATAAGGGGCCAACCTTATCATACGCCACCGCTGAGAAAAATCATGGGAAAAAAGAAGAGGAAGTTGATTGGAACTGGATCTAGGGTTCTTGCCACTTCTCCAGATCCTACAATTTCTCAATTGAGGCAAACAATTGGGGGTTCTAACTCAGTGCAAAGCTCTACTAGCTCGATTCAAATGGAGAGTACGGGACCGAGGGGAGCAAAGACGAAGCTTCCTATGGAAGAGATCTCGATGAATCCAGATGTTGGGACTTTGTCTTCTCTGGTTAAGGGCAAATCGATTGAAGGGGATGCTGTGGTGATTGGGGATTCTGGTGGAGATCATTTGTTCTCCAATAGAATGGCAAATTCTACGTCTAAGAGTTGGGTTGATGCTGCAGATCTTGATGATGATGAGGAATTTCCTTGCCTTTCTGGAGAGGAGATCAGATGTCGAAGATACCATTATGAAAGACGATAATCAACAAAAGGGAGTGGCAGAGTCAGGTAACCCTCATCCTTCTAATACCAAAGCTTGGTCTAGTATTTTTGCTGACAATAGGAAGGTTGGGAATGGCTTGAGTTTATCTTGTTCCTAATACAACTGAGGGTATTGCTATGTCTGATGAAGAGGAATGGAGCTAGGGGGGAGAACAATGGAAATTTGCTCTTATTGGCAATGTCATTGGTCTAAATGTGAGGTTTAAGGCTATGGAAATGTATGTGGAAAAAATGTGGAAGCCAATTGCTTTGCCTCAGATTTGTTTGTTAAAACCTGGGCTGTATTTGTTTAATTTTTCATGTGAATATGATAGGAATAGAATCCTTGAAGCTGATCCCTGGTTTTTGGGGTCTAGACCATTTTTACTTAGGCCATGGAGAAATGATGCAAATATGGAAAATTTCAATCCAAATGTATATCCTATGTGAATTCAGTTTCCAAATTTGAGGATTAACTTGTGGCATGCAAGGGGTACTAGTAGAGTTGCTAGTTTAGTTGGTAAGCCTATTACTACAGATAAAATGACAGCTAGTAGAGAGAGATTGGCTTATGCCAGGGTCCTTGTAGAGGTTACCATGCCATCTACTTTGCCAGATGTGGATTGATTCAGGGGTCCTAATGGTATTTCCTATAATCAGGAAGTTGTCTATGAATTTAAGCCTAGGTGGTGTGATACTTGTAAGAGACATGGGCATGATACTGGGCATTGTAAGAGGAAGCAAACTAAAATGGTATTGAGACCTAAAGTGATTCAAACTCCACCTGATATTGTTCCTAATAAAGAACAACAGGAATGGACTAAAGTGCAGCATAATGGGAAGGATAAGGCAATAATCAGCAGAGGAAATTACTCAACAAGAGTCAGTTATCCAACAGAACTAATTTACTGTACTATGAGGGGGATAATCAAAGAGGTGGTGGACGTCCTCTTACTAATGATGCTAGTACTTCAACGCAAGGGGTATGCTCATCAAATGGTGTGGCTAGTGGGAATCAAAAGGAACTTAACTCCTCGATGGTTGACAGATGGGGAGGCTCTTCCTCTAATTCTAAATGAATATAGCTTTTTGGAATGTGAGAGACTTTAATAAGCCTAATAAACACCAGATGGTGAAAAGTTTTATTCCTCAACACCATATATCTACTACAGGTATTTTAGAGACTAGAGTGAGAAGTTCTAAGGCAGAGAGGATTATTAAAAAAAGTGGCTAAGGCCTAGGAATGGATGGCTAACTATAATGCTTATAATAATGGCAGAGTATAGATTCTTTGGGATTTGCATGTCCTAGATGTCAGTGTTATTTCTATTAGCAAGCAATGCACCACCTGTAAATTAGATTCTATTGATCAGAAGGCAAAATGTTATGCTTCTTTTGTTTATGCTGCAAATCAGCTAGTCCAAAGAATGGAAATCATTCATAATGGAACCTGTCTCACTGATGATCATAGGAGGATTCTTCTGCAGGATATTACTGATGAATAAATCCAACTGCTGCTTTTTCTATTCCTGCTCAAAAAGCCCCTGGCCCTGATGGTTTTTCCTCTAGCTTTCTTACTGAATCTTGGAGTATTTTGGGGTATGATGTGATTCAAGCTGTGAAGGAATTCTTCCACACTGGGAAATTACTTGGACAAGTAGATACTACACTGGGAATTTTTTATGCTATGATATGGCGTGCTGTAGCTGCATTGAAATGCCTATAGGCTATTAATGATTGCATTGAAGTGCCTATAGGCTATTAATGATAAAAAAATGACCTATTATGGATCAAGTAAGTTCATGGTAATTATTTAAAAAGGCATGATATTTGGCACGTTCAAGCTAGAACTAGTGACTCCTGGGCATGGAAACAACTTCCGAAAGTGAGGAATACATATTTGGCAAAATGGGGTTCTTATGAGAATATGCTTCTTAAGTTCAAACAATGGTCTTCTTCTGGGAAGTTCAAGATGGCTGAAGCTTATGGTGATATTGTTTTCTCATCTCCTATTGTACCATGGTATAGAATGGTTTGGAGTTCTCTTAACGTACCAAAGCACGCATTCATATTTTGGTTGATGACTCAAAGGAGGCTGCTTACCCAAGACAGGCTCATGAAAATGGAGATTATATCAAGTAATTGCTGCTTATTTTGTGGACTATGTGTAAAGCCATGAACATTTGTTCTTTGAATGCATATTTTCTACAGAAGTATGGTGGAATATTATGAATTGGCTAGGGTTTAAGCACAGGAGCTGTATGCGGCATCGTATAAGGGAATTCTTTACAATCCACTTGAGGAAAATTTGTATCAGTTTGGTGAGGAAGTGTGCTTTGGTAGTGTTGAGAGAGTTGTTTATTCTTTATTGTTTAGTCTCACATTGGTTAAGGACAAACTCCTCCATTTCCCAAAACACTAATATTTATTAATAACATTGAAGAGAGCTAATAATATCTAGGAGCTTCACATTAACATGGTATCAGAGCCACCCTCTTCTCTCCTCTCTCCAATTTTCTAGACCCTAGCCGCCACCCTCCCAAATCCTAGCCGCCACCTTCTACTTCTCTCGAACCCTAGTCGTCACCCACCACCATCAAACCCTAACCCTCAGCCCTTAGCCACCAAACCTACCCGCCATCACTTCCGACAAGCTCGCCACATCCCATGACGAGATCTGAACCAGGCTTTCAATATAACCTTGCCGCTTTGCCGAATTTCTTCCGCAGGGCTATTGTTCATCAGTGTTACTGTTCAACACGAGTTGTTCATTCAAACCAAGCCCTAGTCGATCAAGCTAATCATTTCTCTTAACCAACTAGATCTTCATAGATCTTAAACTAATCATTTAGCTTAACTAATTATATCATCCTATATCTTAAGCTAATTGTCTAGCTTAACTAATTCAATCAAGCTAATTATTTAGCTCCATATTAATGATCAGTCTTCAAAAATCTCTTTGAGATAAGTGATAAGTCATTTTTTCTCTTGAAGAAACCAACCTTGCAAGATGGTTTTACTTAGTGGATTGACTGCTTCTTGTTAGGGTGATTATTTATTGATGAGTTGATTATTAGAGATTGATTTGTTGTTAGGTGAGATTGATAATTATTTGCCAACAAATTACTAGTTGCGGGATCTTATTTACTGTGTTGATAGCGTCCTCCAGTGATTCTGCTATTTCGATAGACGAGAGAGTTGAGACGAAGACCCATACGGAGGTGCTCTCTAGTATGATCACTGATAAGAAATTGAATGGGTCCAATTACCTACTTTCAAAGTGACTTGCTCAAGTTTATGCTTCGGGTCAACAAAATGATCAACATCTTATAGATGACCCCCCCCCCTACCGGTTATTGCCTCTTGGAAATAGGATGACACTCGTATACTTCATCAAATTTGGAACAGCATAGAACCGTAGGTCCTTCAGCTAGCAATTCACTATAATATAGCAAAACATATGTGGAAGTTTTTGGCGCAATTATATTCACGTCGTTAGCATGCCAATTGGGTGTATCATGTTATTCAGGAGTTATTTCGGAGCAAGATGGACGAGCAAAGTCAGACTTTTGAGGAGCATGATAGCAACTCCAATCACCTCACAAAGGCGTTGAGACAGATTTTTTTTCCATTATGGGGATACTCCGAAGATGCAGGATCAATGGGATCAACTAATGGTATTTAACTTTCTTGGTTCTCTTCCACGGTCTTATACTTCAACACGACCACGGGTTATTGGGAACTCTGCTATACATTCCTTAGCAGAGACATATTACTTCTTGATATCAGCAGTGCAAGCAGCGACAGTAAGTAGTAGAGTTTACCAACAAGCCTTCTCCTGCAACACAAAGTAGATAGTCGATTAGTCAAGAGGGTGGTTGTAGTGGAGACCGCTTTGGCGGATGTGGAGGACACTTTGGAGCACACGGGGAATGAGGTGATAGTTCATAAGGAGTTGTAGGGGAGGATTCATCCGATTCCTCTATCCATTGTCATTATTGTAAGGAGTCGAATCACATGAAAGTCCATTGTCCTCACCTACATGGAAAATAACTTCAGAGTGCACATGTGGCTTCACAGGAGAGACTCATAGATGAGGACATTCACCGCTAACTTGAGCAATTTTAGCTCTAGTTATTCCAGAAATTTAAGAAGACACAATCCTCTCATGCTATAGTTACACTTGTCCAGTCAGGTAAACCCACTGCTTGCCTTGTATCATCATTGTCTCGTATAAATTCAGGGATAACTGACCATATAACTGGGAATAGAGGTATATTATCCTCATGCACACCTACCATCACCTTTTCTTCAGTAGTATTGGCCAATGGATCCACTACACCTATAGAAGGTGTTGGATCTACCAACATTACTACTATTCCATTTTCATTGTGCTATATCTTCCTTGTTTTTTATTTAATCTCTTATTTGTCAGCAGGATTACTAAAGCAATAAACTGCATGGTAATATTTTTGCCTACACACTGTATTTTTCAAGTACTTGGGATGAGGAAGACGATTGGCATTGAATGTGAGCGGAATGACTTGTATAAGCTAGACTTTATCCCAACCTAGGTGGCCTGTATTAGCTCCAGCATCCACATCAGCCTTTCATGCACATTTTCAGTTTGATCACCCCCCCTCTTTCGATTCTTAAAAATTTAGTTTCAGATTTGAATCATGTCGAGTCCTTAGATTGCGAGTCACGTCAATTCAAAAAACACCAACGGGAGTCTTACCCGAGTCGCACCAATTAGAGGGCTAGTAATCCGTTTGATTTAGTGCATTCAGACGTATAGGGTCCTCATTATGTTCCATTCAAACTCAGATTCTAATATTTTATTAGCTTTGTGGATGACTTTTCTCACATGACTTGGATTTACATGCTGAAAAATTGTTCTAAAATATTCTCTACTTTTAGAGTTTCTTGTGCTAATGTTAAAAATCAATTTCATAATGACATTAAAACTTAAAGAATAGATAACGCTAAGGAATATTTTGATAGCTCTTTCATAAAATATTTGGAAGAAAATAAAATTTTACATCAGTCGTCTTGTACTTACCTCAACAAAATAGGGTCGCTGAGTGCAAGAACAAATATTTGCTATCAATTGCTAGGACCTTGTTATTCCATCGTCAAGTTCCAAAATATTTTTGAAGATACTATTTTGACAGCCTGCTACCAGATCAATAAATTTCTTTCATCTGTCTTATAGAACAAAACTATGATTTCCCTTTTATATCTAGTTAAAAACGCTTTTCATTTACCTCCTAAAATCTATAGGTCTTTATGCTTTATTCACATAGTCCTCAACCAACAAAATTATATTTGAAATCTCTTAGGGGAATTTGTCTTGGATATTCTCTGACTCAAAAAAGATACAAATGTTATTGCCCCTCCCTGAATTGGTATATTGTTTGAGCCAATGTTATCTTCTTTGAGAACAAACTAGGACATATTGCCTTTAATAAATCCTTACTCTCCTGATGATTATAACTATCTTATTGTTCGAGAAAGCACTGTCAATGTTCCTTCAAAGACTACTATACAAACTGATCTACCATTCAAATTTGTGAAACCAGTTCAGGTTTATACAAGACGTACTGCTCCACAACCTAAGCTATCGTCCAAATCCACCCAAAAGCCTAATATACTAGCAAATCAAAATGTGACCACACAGCCAAATGCCCAGCCAATTGATAATCTTCTCATTGCCCTCCGAAAGGATAAGAGATCTTGTTCTTAGTATCCTCTTACACAGTATGTATCTTACTCTTTATTATCTCCATCATATTATTCTTTCATATCTTCTTTAGATTTTCACCCGATTTCCAAGAATTTGTCAGCAGTTTTATCCAACTCAGGTTAGACGACAACAATGCAAGAAGAGACCTTGATTATATCTAACTCAGATTGGGTGCAAATGGGTTTATATTGTCAAAATAAACCCAAATGGCTCTTTAGCTCACCTAAAAGCTCGACTAGTTGCAAAGGGGTATTCACACATCTATGGCCTTGATTATATCGATACCTTCTCTCCTATAGAAAGATGATATATGCCCGTATTTTTATTTCTATTGTTGCTCGCAATCACTGCCCAGTGACCACTACATTAGTTGGATGTTAAGAATGCATTCCTTAATGACATTCTTAACAAGGAGGTTTGTATAGAGCAAACACTAGGTTTTGTTGCTCAGGGGGAGTGTACCAAGGTTTGTAAGTTGAAAAAATCGCTCTACGGCTTGAAGCAATCTCCAAGGACTTAGTTTAGATGTTTTGCAAAAGTTGTCCAGACCTTTGGTCTTCATCGAGCTCAGAAAGATCTCTCCGTTTTCTCTAGATTTCATAACGGGAAGCGGATCCTTTTAATTGCATATGTTGACGACATTGTAATCACCGGTGATAATTCACACGGTATTAGTCATTTGAAGAAGTATCTACAGCAATAATTTCAAACCAAACACCTTGCATTCTGGAAATATTTTCTAGGTATCAAATGGCTAATCGAAGAAGAGAATTCTCAGACCTCAGAGAAAATATGTGTTTAATATGTTGCTAAATGCTGAGATGTCAGAATGCAATGGCATTAACTCACCTATGAATGACAAAGTCAAACTACCACCAACTCAGGGAGATTTACTGAAGGTATTGAAGAATACAGACGACTTGTAGGAAAACTATCTAATAGTCATGAGACCAGATAATGCATTTTTGTTAGTGTAGTTAATTTCTCTCAACACCTAGAAAGCTATGAAAAGGATTCCTAGGTATCTCAAGAAAACTCCAGAAAATAAAGTATTATATTCAGATATCAGTCATAAGAGAATTGCAGGATTCTCATATGCAGATTGGGTAGGATCTCCTGAGAACGTAGCATCAACTACGGGTTATTATGTGTTTCTTGTAGGAAATCTAATATCATGGAAGAGTAAGAAATAGAGTGTAGTCTGTCGATCTACAACTGAGTCCGAGTATCAAGCAATGACGAATTTGACTTGCGAGCTGATCTAGGTTAAGAGATGTATTAATAGAGATTGGTTATCCTCTGGAGTGTCCCATGAGCTTGTATGGAGATAATAAGGTCACCATTCACATAGCTAAGAATCTAAAGTTTGATGAGAGGACAAAACACCTAGAGATCGATTGTCACTTGATTCGTGAGAAGATGGAGAAGGGATTTGTTAGAACCAAGCACATACCATGAGACCATCAACTTGCAGACATTCTCACAAAACCTCTTAGGAGAACGTGAGTGAATTTTATTTGTAACAAGTTGGACATGCACGATATGTATGCTCAACTTGAGGGGAAGTGTTGAGAGAGTTGTTTATTCCTTATTATTTAGTCCATTGGTTAGGAGAAACTTCTTTGTTTCCCATAATACTATTAATAACATCCAAGAGAGAGCTAATAATCTCTCTAAGGGTTTCACATTAACAGACAGCTATAATTTATGCAATTTGGTTTGAGAGGAATGCACGATCACATTCTGGTCTATCTAGGAGTATTGAGGCTGTTGTTAAGTGGATTAAGACCTGCTCTCTTGTGGCTCTCTATAATAGTCCAATCCCTATTGAATTTAAATGTTGGTTTGACTCTTTATAACGGTTACAAATCTTGGGGTTTGAGTTTTATGTTGTTCTGCTCCTCATGTTGAGGTAGCTCGGAGTGTATTAGGGCCTTGTAGAGTCCTGAGTATGCCTGGGATGGAATTATGTACATAATGCTTACACATACACCATCATTATGCATCAATAAGTAAACTAAATAGAAGCAAAAATGTGTTCTGACGAACCTTCACTTGAAGATACTCTCCAGGTTGGAAATCCATAATCTGCGTGAACAATGAAAAAGATTATTAGATTATTGCGAACATGTGTTCTTTGAGTGACCAATGGATGCAATAGATCTGTAGCCCCTAATATACTGCCTGATGGGTACTAGAACATAGGAATGACAGTTTTTTTAATAGACAATTTCAGGCATATATGATATAAGAGAATAGATAAAGTAGTAAGATAAGTTGAATGAGTAGTAAGTTCATATACCTTTTTCTAGTGACAGATAAATGGATCCAAATGATCATAGTGATTCGGAACAAGACAACGCAAGAAAAGTAAGCCAGTGTATGTTATAAGGCACACATGCTTCTTTGTTTGGAAAACAAATTCGGATGCTTAATTCTATTAAGATGATGATCAAGACCAAGCATATGTAAACACAATAGTTACCCCATGGCAGAGAAAGCATATCTGTATCTATCTAAAGACTCTAGACTGAAAGACAAAAATTAGATCCAACTTAAACAAATAAGCTTTCTCAGAAATGAGATTATCCAATTAAACTCAAAGAGCAGTATAAATTTGGAGTCACAAGAGGGCCAAGTTGCTGGCTAGATCACAAAGAATTGCTTTGAAAGGCAGGCCAATAGGTTTTCAGCAAATTGCAAGAATGCACTTTTAGGAGGCTTGAGATCATTCACTAATCAGAGAATACATTGTATTGCTACAGCAATGTATTTTTACAGCTGGAAATATGATACTCCAGGAAATTTAGTCCGACATCGAGTGGTGACTAAGAGAAGTTAAGTGTTTATAAGGTAAAAGCATCAAGTTCTAGTGTAGCATCGGCCAGCTAGTTTTGTCATTGGTTTGAGCCAAACAACGCACTAGCACAATGGGTTCCACGGCTTACACCGCGCCAATGGGCTCATGGGTCAGGGGCATCATATGTATCAAATCAATTGTAGTGTGAAACTAAGTGCTATACGGGACGAAGCGCTATGCGGGATTAAGCGCTACATTGCATGAGCGCGATGGGAGCCACCTCTACAACTCATAGAAGACATCTCTAGAGTCCACATTGTTTGGTGGTGATACTAGGATGGACCATTGTCATACCGCGATGAGGACATCATGCAATTAAGGTGGGGTGGGTGATGGTGATACCCTAAGAAATTTAGTCCTACATTGAGCGGTGACTCAAAAAACTCAGTGTTTACAAGGTTAAAGCATGGGGGTTCAAGTATAGCATTGGCTAGCAGATTTTGGCAGTGATTTGGGCCAAATAATGCGCTACACTCAGTGCATATCACAGGTTACACCGCGTCAATGAGATAGCAGGTCCGGGAGTAACAAATAATATCTTTATGCTGATTAGAGGAGACTAACCATTACACCGCTAAAGCTGATTTATCTTGACTGATGGCACTACAGTTATAAACCTCTAGTCGTTTGGGCAAAGAGGTCCGGGATCTAATTGCTCTCATATGAAAATACAAGCTTTAGCTTAAGAAATTATTTTAACCCGTCTCTTTAACAAGACCTCTTCTTTCAAATCATCAAAAACGTAAAAATTTCTCAAGGCTTAACTCATTATTATCGCGCAGCCCTGCTCTGCAGAGCTAGGTTCCTATGACAGTATACACCATCATTGAGCATCCACTCGGTTCTCTAAAGATATGTCTTGCTCCCAAGTTCAATTAAATTCAACATGACCAGTAGATTTCTTTAGTATACAGGGAGTTAAGCCCAGTATATCAAATATAATGTTGTCTTATTCCAAGCAATCAAAATCTCATCCAACAAGAATTTCTTACAGATATCAATAATTGAGTATCATCAAAGATGCAAAACAGTGTTTTTACTGTATGTTAGCATCACCACTGGAAAGCCTAGATTTCTTCCTCTCTTTTTTTTACTTTTCCCTTTTTTTCAGTATTTCATGTATTAGTGCACTAATAGAATATCACTGCAAGGACTCACATGGATATTAAAATCATAGGCAGCTGAAGTAGGCAGCAGCTTCCTCAGTTCAAATACCTGATCAGGAGGGGAAAAGTTGCATTAAGAAAACATAATAAAATAGTTCCCTGATGAAAATTCAGGAAGAAATGTTTAACTCAAACTCATGCTTATAATTAGAAGCCAATAGCAACCAAAAGAGGGAAAACTTTTTCTAAAACACATCTCAAATCCAGAAAATACATAATTTTCTGTCTTTTTTCTGTAAGCATAAGTTGAAGTATAATTAATATTCAATATATTACCTCCCCTGGAGTTTCAAGAAGAGGCTGTTTGTCTGTCTCACCTATGATCTGTTCAGGATAGTAATTTTCCAGGGTCGCATACCTGCATAACGAAATCGGGGGGGGGGGGGGATAGAGAAGAAAAAAACCTAGCAATTAAGCCATTTGAATGACATTTGATTATGCTCCAAAAAAAAGGAAAAAGTGATTTGAGAATCTATGTTGTGATTATACAATGTGTATGAACATGAGGCTGCGGAAGAGGAAACAATCAGTGAAGTCTGATCATAACAGCATATATTGTCAGAAATTACAGTTGGTTGAATACAAACAACAAACAAAGGAAGGAGTCAACTTTCAGTCATGATGTAAATGGTTATTTGTTCATAAAATTCTGAAAATACTGTGACAAACCTTCGCTCGAAGATAACAAGAGTAGTTGTCATCTCTGACTTCAGAGAATGGTCCAAGTTAGGAGGTATATATGCATAATAGTCCACCTGCATTTAACAACAGCATGAAATTAGAATCACACCGTTTGAAGTTTTTGTCATGGCATTGGAATAACCATCCCCATGCACAAATTCAAGAAGCAGCTAAGTTATAAGCATATTACACTACTAAATAACAGGATAATTCATTTTCGACAAAATACGTGAAATCTCTGTGTGCTCAGATATGATAGATTGAAAACAATACAAATGGCATAGGCATTACAATAATAGAGGTGTTTCCATATAAAAAGCCATAGTTCAACTAGATCTGAGAATACACAGATGAGCAAGTAGGAATATGGTAAGAAACAGGATGTGAAATGACAGTTACCCAAAAGAAAGAAGGGGAAATAAAAGAAACAATAGTATTAGTATCCATAAAAAACTTAGGGGTGTTCCCATTGAGTATAAATGATTGAGAACAAATTGATATGGTTTGAGCACGTGATGTATGACAATCGGGCACCGTTTAGTAGTGACAAAGGAGCAACAAGGACTCGAAGTAGGCCTCAGCATAAATGGTTGGAGGCAATTAAGAAGACACTAACTCTCGATTTTTGACAAGATGGTCCTTATCAGAGCTTAGCAGAAGAAAAAAATTCCCGTAGCTGACTACAAAAATTAGGGAGAAATGCTTTTATTTTAAAAAGAGGGAGAGAGAAGGAAAAAAACTATTGATGCATGAAGGATGTAAAGTATAATATTCAAAGCTTGTGATCTTACATGCAATTTATGACTACTGCCCGAACCATTTGAGAATAAAACGGAGCCCTGAACCACAAAAACAAACCTGAATGCGTCCCCACAACATAAGAAAAATTAGTAGTCAAACAAGTTAAAGGATGACTGTCAATATAAATAATTAAGATTGGAAAATTATATGGATAGAAATTCAATTAATGTGCAAATATCGCCTAGCAGAAAATAACATAGGTACTAAACAAGATCTAAAGGAATATATTACGAATATCTATAATGTTATAGTTATATTAGGAATAATATATTAGGAATATATGGTTGAGAGATATTAGAGATGTGACTGAGAAAATAAAGGAATATGTGAAAAATATGTTTAGCATATTCCTTAATTATACGTAACATGTATTTAATTCCTATTAGTATAAATATAAGAGATCAACAGAGATCTAGAACCGAGTCTCTAGTTTCCCGTAGAATTAATTTCAACATGGTATCAGAGCCACACAAAACCTAACCTCTACAAAAGCTTAGATCATCACGTAACCCGAACCTTCCAATCCCCCACCACCAAACTCCTCCCTCAGCCTTCTTACCTTCCTTCTTCTTATACTGTTTACTGTGAACACCAAGCACTCTATTATTGTTCACAATGAATAGTACAGTGTAATTGTTTGCCATGAACTGTATCGTAGTACTATACACCGTGAACAATATTTTTAATTTTCATTCGCTCTGCTTTCGATGGACTTGTCGCTGATCAAGATTGTCATTATTGATAGCAGCAGTCATCCCCGATGTACAAGTTCTCATTGTCACCTATGCCAGACCGATTTGCCTTCGTTCACACCATCTACGCAACTTGTTGACACCACCTCCGTTGCCGCTTGTCTCCTAGAAACCTTGACCACCATTAGCTCGAAAAAAAAGTAAAAAAAAGAAATGAAAGAGGAAAGGAAAATAAAAAGGAAAGGAAAAGTAGAGGGGAAAAAAGAAAAAGGTAGGAAAAAAGGGAAAGAAAACAAGGATTTTGATTATGGATTTGGTTTGGATTTTGTTTCATGGGGTTGGGGTTGGATCTCAAAGTAATTTGTTTTATTTTGATCTTTAAAGTTGGACTGGGACTTTGTTATGTACCGGTTGTCTTTTTGAGGATGGAGGAGAGGTGTTAGATATTTGGTTGGCTTGAAAGAGTGGTAGGGTGTTGCTACCTTGACATATTTTGAGATTGATGTAGAACAATATTGTTTTGTTGGTTTGTTTATTAGATTTTGAAGATTAGTTAGAAGGAGATTGCTTCGTTGGTTTGTTTTGGAGTTTGGTTCGGTGAAGATTTGTTTGGCAGATCCCTAAAGAGGGACCATTCGTTTGGCAGATCCCTAAAGAGGGACCATTCGTTTGGCAGATGGCTAAAAAGTGATTTTTTTGTGGATCTCTGGTGACGATCATTTATTTGGTAGATCACTAGTGATGATCATTTGATTGGTGGATCTCTATAGAGGATCTTTTGTTTGACAGATTCTGGAAGGGAGCTTTTGTTTGATGGAAATTTGATGATATTATAGTTAATGGAGCAAAAAGATCTAGAGATAGACCTAAAAAAAACTTGGTTGAAAGCAATTAAGAAAGATATGATGATGCTTAGTTTAACAGAGGAGATGACCCATAATAGAGCAGAATGAAAGAATAGGATTCATATAGCTAACCTCAAATATTTGGGATAGAGGCTTTGTTGTTGTTGCAACTTTTGTTTGATAGAACATGAGAGAGGATCAGTTAATTTGAATTCAAGTGAAAGATACGAAGATCAAGACTATTGCAAAGAGGTCACATACAAAATAGTGACTTTTTGAGCTTCATCACAGATTAGAGTGTGCACTTTATTTGTAACAAGTCAAACATGTATGATATACATGCTTCAGCTTGACGGGAGTGTTAAAAAATATATTCTGGTGATTTATGATGTCATAGTTATATTAGGAATAATATATCAGAAATATATTGTTGAGAGATATTATAAATGTGATTGAGAGAATAATGGAATATGCTAAAATATGTTTAGCATATTCCTACTAATATGTAACATGTATTTAATTTCTATTAGTATAAATATAAGAGATCAACAGACCTCTAGAATTGAATCTTTGGTTTCCCTCAGAATTAATTTCAACAATGAGCAAAGATATTGTATCGAAACAATGTGGAATTAGTTGTTCTTACCTTAACATGTGAAAATAAAATTACTATCATCATTTATTTTAATAGCCTTGTTTTTCTACAACATTCATGGGTATTTTGATATGTTGATATATTAGGATTAGGAATTTATCGATAAAATTCTTACATAAATTTCCAACGTAGAGACTATTTCAAACAAGATATTATACTACCTAAGGTTCTAAAGGAACTTGTCTATAAAGAACTTGATATGTTGATATGATGAAGGAAATGATGGGAGAGGGAGGACATACTCACCTTTCAACTCCCTTTTCAGGTAATGCCGAAGTTGAACCCTCTGTGTGGAACAGAAACACTTGTAAACATTAATGAAAGAAAAATATACGTATGAATAGGAGTAGGCTGATTGCAGTAGAGCAGTGGCAGTGAGAAAAAAAACTTAGTAAGTTCAGGTATTAGATAGGAGCGAATGGCGTAAATGATTAAAAATAAGAATTCGTCAATTAGCAATATGCCCAACTTTTATGAAATTAGAAGGTGGAATAAGTAGAACATAGAAATAGTCAATGAGCAAGAGGGTCCACCAATTAGCACTAAGGATGTATACAGTTATGAAAATGAGGGAGGAAAACCTAAGGAAATTGCAACAAAACCTTGACCCTTACACATCTAATGGATTATGCAGACAAAGTGGCTACAAGTATCTGCGTTACTTCTGCAGTTACAGATGATAGCAAGGAAAAAGAGAATACATGATTTAACTAGTACCTCATGAAGGTATGTACTATACAAACACTAGGTGAAGTTACATGAGCTTAAACAGAAGTATGAGACCTTGATTTCTGACTATATATGCAGATAATAAGGATAGAGTTGAAATCGGCAGTGCTAACAACACTTCCAAACTCAAAGTCACTAGGGTTTACTTGTAAGAGGGTGTCCATTTAAAGATCCCCTAATAAGCAGGCGTCAAAACTTATGCAAGCGTGATATTTCTCTAACTACCAAAAATAATAGACAAATACTATGCAGAACTGTAGAAGTTTAGATTACATAAGATTTAAATAGAGATCATATTTGACCTTTCGAAATAAAATTGTAGAACTTGGTCTACTCTATAATTACTATCATTATGATAAAAAATAACACTACAAGGAATTTGGCAAGCCGTTGGCACTATGCAAGTCATGGAACCCACTGGGGAGCAACTCGTATGGCTCGATCCACTGCCAAAATGTATTAACACTAGTTGCTCTTGAGACATTTGATTTTACTATTTAAAGCCTTCAAATTATTCATAGCTTCTTGATATGGGACTAAACTTTTGGGGCATCACCATCATCCCATCTTTAAATATGTGACATCCTTGTCGTTGCATGACAACTAATTCATCCGAATATCACCACCAAACTGTGTGGATTCTAGAGGTGGCTGCTATGGGCTCCTACCGCTTTTGCGCTATGTAGCAGTTAGTTCCACGCTTTCGGCAAGCAATACTATTTTGTCACGCCCTGGGTCAGCGAGCGTGTTATCACGGTGCAAGTCATGAGATCCATCGAGTGGAATGCATTATTTAGCTTGTTCCACGGTCAAAAAGTGCTAGAAATTGTTACACTTAGATCCTTAACTTTTACTATTTAAACCCTTCAAACTCACAACCACCTTCTAATGTAGGACTATAGTAGGTTGCAGTACTACAACCCTGCCTTATCTACATGACATCCTCACCGTAGCTTGACAATGATTCATCCCAGTATCATTACCATGCGATTTGGATTCTAGAGATGACTCCTATGGACTCTCGAGTTGGTTCCTATCATGCTCACACAATATAACACTTAATCTTGCATAGCATTGTCTTCTTGATATCTGACCAGTACCCTTCATAGCACTTACTATCTTCTTGACATTTGGTCGAAGCCCTTCCTCGAAGCAGCAAGTTTTATCTTTATCATTACCTAACAAGTGAGGCAAACTTTGATAAGTAAACTCATATTCAAGCACTGTTTTATCAACTTGCTCTAATCTTCGAAACTCTTATATTTTCTGCTAGCAGACAGTTAAGGGAAAAAACTTTTCATAATAATCTTCTTAAATTCGTCCCATGATATTTTGTAAGTATTAGCTCCTAATGTCTTTACCTGCATTTGCCACCACCCATAAGCACAGTCTTTTAGCATATACACTGTGTACTCAACTTTTTCCTGTTTAGGATATTTCATATAAGTAAAAACTTTTTCTACCTCAGTGATCCAATATTCTGCAATCATCGGATCCATAGTGCCTCCAAAAGAGAATGGAGATAGTTTATTGAATTTAATCATGCCAAGACTTAACTCTAAACGATCATTATTCAAGACCAGTGTGTTGGGTACAATCAATATAGCCATGATGTCTGGTAACAACAATCATCACTACTTGCAACAATTGAATAAGCGTACTATTATCCACTTGGGTGTTTCACAAGCTAGGTGCATGTGCAACTCTAGATCTCATTAATTGCTAGATTGAGATCATTATCACGATTGGAAGGGTTTGATCATTGCCTGTAGCCATGTCTTTCTACATACAGTAAAATACTTATAGGTCAGTTGTTACACCGAGTGGCAAATTTCTAAGCTAGTCACATATATGTGATGCAAATAGCTATTAAGTCGATCATCGTTCAACACCGCAAACACGATTCAATATTTACAAGCCAAGACTATATCACTGATTTTTAACTTTTGATTCATACATATGTACAAGTACATGGAATTTACATATAAACATGTGTTTTCACCAAAATGTGACTTAATATACACCAAAAAAGAAACAAAAAATAACTATATATTGTTATACAAAAATTTCCTACTCACTAAACTCTTGAGCATCTAAGAAGAGGAGCTACTAGAGTAGGACTCTTATTCTGTAGACTCGGTTTCTTTCAAGTCTCCTTCATCTAATTCTTCTTCTATTTGATCTTTTGCTATTGGCTCTTCCAACCCCTTCTCTAGGTCTTTTGGGTCGCGAAGGATAGTTGTGCCCTGTATATACTCAAAGTTTGGTCTGACATAGGTTATGGGTCTACCAGAAGTCAATCATCCCTCTAAATCAAGGCCAATATCAACACAAAGGCTTGCGAATTCGCCCTCAGAGGAGGCAGATCCCTAATTCTCACTAGCGATCTCGACCAGATGAGACTCAGGGGCGAGGTAGTATGATGAATCAATCATGATAACCTCTGGGTGAGAGTCCAAGGGCTACTATAATCACCTCAATAACAAATTCGTCGTCATCCAAGGGATTAGGCTCGGACTCAAATGAATCCACTGCAATCACCTCCACAACCTCATAATCATCATCACAGGAGTCTGGCGTTGTGCGGTCGGCTAGGATCTCCTCAGGGTTTGTTTCATCAGACTCAATCTCAGCCTTCTTGGATGAGCTCCCATGAAATATATATTGAGGTTGTAGATCACCTCCACAACCTCATAATCATCATCACAGGAGTCTGGCGTTGTGCGGTCGGCTAGGATCTCCTCAGGGTTTGTTTCATCAGACTCAATCTCAACCTTCTTGGATGAGCTCCCATGAAATATATATTGAGGTTGTAGAGCTAGAGCGGGTATATGATAAACTAGTAGAATGTCCCCGTCATCTTACAATGAGGGCCACCTTTCCAAACACTGAAAAAATACAAAGAAACAAATGTTAAGGCAATATTAAATAAGGTCAGGTCTACTTTGAAAGTAGTGTTACGTGACACCACTTTGTTCAAGGAATACAAGGATCCAAATTCATTGACACCCACCAATCTAAAAACACCCAGCCCTAGTGACTCCACTTATAAAACCACGTGATGCACACCTAATTCTTCTACTTACTCACTCAGCCCCATCCAAATTACCAAATCGAAAAATTACCGTGCAACTCAAATTTAGAATGGGCCTTTTCTATATTAGTCCGCCAAACCTTTCATATTTTGAAATGAGTTTGAAATAAGTCTCTCAAATCTTCATATTTTGCAATTAGTCCTCGAATTCTTTAAAGATTTTAAAATTAGTCCCTCAAATATTCATATCTTGAATTAGTCAACCCACGTGTTGTGTTTTGAAATTAGTCCCCCAAATCTTTTAAAGTGGTGCTAACTAGAGGGACTACTTTAAAACATTTAAAAGATTTAGGGGACTAATTTCAATTTGAAGATTTGATGACCAATTTCTGAGTATGAAAGAATTTGGAATTTAGTATCAAAAAATCCCTTTCAAAATTGAAAATCTGCGATCAAAATTTCCCCCTCTATGATCCTACTAGCGCTAGTGTGCTAACACCTTCTCCTTTGCCCTTATATCCTCCTCCGTCACCTTAGTTGTGAAGATCCCTATTCGCTACTCTTAGCGCTATCCTTAGTGAGTTTTTGATGTTTTTCCATATATAAATTAAAGGTATTTTTTGGGTTTCGGGATTGGCATTGTTTGATTTTGGTGCAGGTTTAGTTTTTTTTATTACAATTAATTATAGTGACACCATTATCTAAAAATTCTGGGTCCGCCACTGATACTAAAGGCACATAAATCATAAATAGTAAACCCTACATGTTTTACCTCAGATATACCCAAGAAGGCCTCACTATAAAAATACATGTATATATATAAGTCACATAATAATCAATCAATATGGTAACACTCATTTGGCGTATATACACAATGTTAATGATCTCCACAAGAACCCTAACGCAGAAACCAACGGTCCAGAATAATGATCAGTCAAAATTAAGATTTAGTATGGCTGGATTCAAGAAACTATCTTCACCCGCTTTAGGAGGAACTACACCCGCTTTTAAAGGGACAATAGATTCGTGATTGTAGAACATCGGATCACCGAGATGGAGAAAGTTTTTGCCAACATGAAATGTCCCGAAGTGGAAAAAGTTGAGTATGTGATCTATATGCTAAAGGACTATGCTTATGGATAACGGCAAATGCATAAGGACATTAGGACTTGATGCATAAAAAATATCATGGGGCAAATTCAAGAAAATTTTCTATAAGACGTATTTTCCCTCAACCATCCGTAAGCAGAAGGAACAATAGTTTTGAAGATTGGAGCAAGGTGATAAAGCAGTAACCAAATATGATGAGTTTACTTATCAAAGTTTGCCTCTCACTTGTTGGTTAATGATGAGGATAAAGTTTGTTGATTCGTGGAAGGGCTTCTAACAAATATCAAGGAGATAAATAAGTGTTATGTGGGACTAAGCGCTAAATCGTGTGAATGTGATGGGAACCACCAGCCACCTTTAGAATCCACATCGCCTGATGGTGATACTAGGACAAATTGTTGTTATGTCACAACGAGGACGTCACATATATAAGATAGGGTGACAGTAATACCTTAACCCACTATAGTCCCACGTCAAATAGTCGTAGTGAGATTGAAGGGTTTAAATAGTAAAGCTTAAGAATCCAAGTGTAACAATTGCTAGCAATTTTTGGCAACGGAACAAGCCAAACAACAAGTTATACTCGGTGGGTCCCACGGCTTACACAGCGCGGACGGCCTTGTCAGGCCCGAGGCATGACAAAGCATGTATTTCCTATCTTTCTATCTCAAAATACCTTTCATCAAGTTCTTTTTTACAATTATTAGTGTTACTTCTATAATAATGGATGATAGCAAAGAAAATGAGAAGTCATGTCTTCACTTGTAGCTCACGAAGGAACGCACTATACAGACAGTGAAGTTAAAAAGGGAATTAAAAGAAAGTATGAGAACTTTATTCTCTGACTGAACATGAAGATAATAAGGGCACAGTTTAAATCAGTGGCACTAACAATATCCTCAATTTTCCTAGGGTTAACTTATAAGAGGATGTCCATTTAAAGCTTCCCCTAAATAAGTAGGCAGCAAAGCTCAGGCAAGAGTGAATTCCTCTGAGGTACCAAAATGACAGATAAATACAGTGTAGAACCGTAGAAGTCTAGCTTGTAAAAGATTTTATACAGAGACCAAGTTTGACCTAGCCTATTCTACCCTTAGTATCATTGTAGTGAAAAATATACTAGAAGGCATTTGAAGCCTATCTTTCCTATCTTTCTATCTGAAGTTTCCTTTCATAAAGTTTAATCCTGTAAAGACCATGCTTCTCTTGGATCATCTCAATACCCAATTATGCTGTAAACATAAATCTGGGAGTACACAATGCAATTCTAAAAGGTCCTTCATATCCATTAAGGCCATAGATCATAGCTAACAATTGTTATGGAGATGGAAAACAAGTCGGACCACCAGAAACCAAAAGAGCCACAACAAGCACTAAGCTTGGACGTGTAAAGTTCAGTATTTGCAAATCTCACCTTGCATATTTACCAGGTACATTGTAAAATGTGATCCCATTGCAGGGCTGACCAAATAAGCTCCCAATGTATTATCCCTGTTCGATAAAATGGCATCTCAGGAACGCATTCTACCATTAAAATCCAATCTTGAGCTTTTAAAAAAAAATAGAGATGTGTTAACTTTACCAGTTAGGTAGAGGGCTGAATACTTGACTCTCCGGCGTAATTACAGCATGGTCTCTTTTGTACACACTGCGAGTGAAACCAGGTAAATCTGCCATATATAGTAATAACACTTCAATGGTTTTGTAGGATAAAATTACAACAAATTAATATAAGATATGATCAGAATAATTTCTTTCATTCAAGTAAATTACAACAAAAAAAAATCACCCTATGATAACAGATAATTCCCCTAAGGCTTCAAAGTGGCACTTTACCCCTCGCGTCTTCAGTTTGTTTCTGATATAATATTCTAATCTCAATATGATAATCGTGTGTCATATCCTACAACACAGACTTACTGTCCAACTTAACTTCCTACAAATTGAAATGGAGGATCAAATTGTCATTTTCAAATTACAAAAAAAACAATAATAATAACAATAATCATCCTTAAACAATGGAAAACTCTCTTGAGGTTTTAAACGCGACAATATACCCATCTCATCTACAGTTTCTAGTCCACTAACAATCAAATCTTAATATAATAATCATATATAATCATCTAATCTCAATATAACAATCATGTCTTAGAAATTGAAGTAGAGGGATCAAACATTTGGTTCGTAATTACCAAAAAAACCACAAAGAACAACATATGTGACACTTTATCCCCTCATCATCAATTTGCAGCACAATAGCCATCACTTTTTCCTATATAATCATCTATTTCGATATAACAATCCAATAAAAGTGAAATGGAGGAGGCCAAACTGTCAGTTTTGAGGGATTTTTCTGCAAATCCCACAAAACTCAGGGGTTTTTCTCTAATTACCTTGAAGATGGGAAGGAGCGAGAGTAGGGTTTGTGACTTTCCAATACTTGGGAGACTCAGCGCTGTTGCGAGGTGGAGAAATTGAGCAGAAACCCCCATCACCCAAGACCGATTTCACTTCAGCTGATTCAAGAAAAAAAAGACAAAGAGGTTAAAAAGTGATAAAATGCCAAATATAAAATGAAGTCTACTGAAGAGAGGACGAACCCCAAGAAAGAAGGAGGGTGAAAAAATGAAATAAAAACTCCATTGATTTGATGAGCTGAAGTTTGGGGCTTTGCTTTTGCACGGTTTGGCTCTGATGACAACAAATCTTCCACTTCATCAGAAACGAATATGTGGAGGGTCCCATGTAAATTGGTGATTTATGATTTTAATATTTTCCAAGCTTAATTTTTTTATTTGTGTTAGTTTTTCGATATTTTTGTGAACAAATTTTCACTGTAGCCTGGTTTTAAATTTTTATTATCAAAATCGACTGTGTATCGTTTTATTTACTGAAATCGACCGGTTTTCTCGTCACGTCAGCGTCGTGGCGAGAAAGCTGATCGATTAATTTTTAATCATCTTCATAAACAGTCGGGGTTGGCAACCCCGACTGTTTAGTTCAGCGCCCGCTAACAGCTTCACTAAATGGTCAGGGTTGGGAACCCCGACCATTTCGTAACAGACCTATTTCGAAATGGTCGGGGTTCCCAACCCCGACCATTTAGCAGAGCCCAGCCAACGCTGGGTTAGCCAGGGACGAAATGGTCGGGGTTGGGAACCCCGACCATTTCGAAGCTCATTTTTAATTGGTCGGGGCCCCAACCCCGACCATTAAGCAGAGGGCAAGGGCGAGGCCGAAAGTAGTCGGGTTTGGGAAACCCGACTACTTATTCTGGGTCCCCAGCACCATATAAAAGCCACCGCAACCCCCTTTCCCCGATCCCATCTCATTTCTCCGCCTCCCTCTTCTCTCTTCCGTCTGTTCTCCCAAAACCAAAGCTTCAGATCTCAATTTTGAGCTCGTTTCTTCGGCGGAACTTCAAATCAAAAGTTATCTTAAACGTTTTTAGGTAATTTCTTCTACTCCTCTCCTCTTTTAACATGTAGAAATGTAGGATTTTTTTCTTAAAAATAATTTGTTAGGATTTTCATTCATAAATGAATTTCGTGGGCTAGATTTATCTGTGAAATTCGTTTGTATGATGATTATTATCGATGTAATTAACTTTTAGGGAATATAATGTTCAATTGTTCAATTTTAGGGTTTAGGATTTACAATTTGGGAATTAGGGTTTTTGGTTGAAATTATGTGAGATTATTTGCATATTAATTTAATTTTTTATATTTAAATGATATAATTTTCTTTTGAATAGGTTGAACAATATGATGTTTATTGTTTGTTCTTATGGTGGGCAAATTAATTATGGGATGAATAATATGCCAATGTACGTCGGAGGGGTAACGACGCCATTAATGATCTCGGAATCATATAGTTACTACGACTTGGTTATGGAATTACACCGAGTTACGGAAATTGACCCACGAGAATACCGACTGAAAATTATATGCAATTGGCCCATAGCTATTGATAGAACATCCGCAGTGGAGATCTCGAACGATTATCATATGAGTATTATGTTTAAATTGGGCAAGTCGCAACAAACGGTAGAATTGTTTATTGAAAAGTTACCACATAATCCGTGCCAAATATTCAAACCTCCAGGAGAATTCTCACGCATGTTAGATATGAGAGTTAATTCCGATGGGTTTCTTTCTTCTTCGAATGAAATGGAGCGGGCTCAATTCGGTGGAACGTCAAATGTCATGAATAACGAAGTCTCTTATGGAAATATGGGGTCGTTAAGTAGGGCATCAATTGAAGAGGATGAAAGAAGCAATGACTCGGGAGGTGAAGAACAATATAGTGCACCAGTTGATAGCATGCAATTTGTTACCCAAGATGTCGAAGATAATCCGGAATGGCCTGATGAGGCTTACGTTAATAATGACTACGTTGAGTATGAAGAACCACCCCCCGACGAGTTTGAAGATGATGAGTGGATTCGTTCTTCCACAGTAAAAGATATGTGCATCGGTGAAAGTTCAACTCGTAGAGGAGATGATGACGCCCCCTTTAAAGTTGGTGATTTATTCGAGACTAAAGACCAATTGGTTGGGAATGGCCTGATGAGGCTTACGTTAATAATGACTACGTTGAGTATGAAGAACCACCCCCCGACAAGTTTGAAGATGATGAGTGGATTCGTTCTTCCACAGTAAAAGATATGTGCATCGGTGAAAGTTCAACTCGTAGAGGAGATGATGACGCCCCCTTTAAAGTTGGTGATTTATTCGAGACTAAAGACCAATTGGTTGATGCTATTCGTGAATACTCTTTCGAAAAGAATTTCAAGTTCAAGCAAGTTAAAAGCAATCGCACAAGTTATGATGCAATATGTTTTATGAACACACAAAGAACAGGTCTGACCGAGGGAAATGAAGCTGATTACTCATGTCCTTGGAAGTTATATGCATTTGCAGGAAAGAAACACAATTTTCAATTTAGGATCAGTGAATACTGCGGTGTTCACACATGTGTCAATCCAATATTAGAGCAAGATCACAGTGGTGCATCTGCCTCTTACATAGCGCGGTTGATTATGCCAAAATTAAGGAAGAAGCTTGATCTAACGCCCGATAATATAATTGAGAAAGTGCTTGATACCAAGTTCATTAAAATCTCGTATATTAAAGCATGGAATGCAAGAAGAATTGCGATGACAAAAATATTTGGTGATTGGGACAAGTCTTACGCGACACTAGCTCAATATCTTGATGCGATCAAAAGAAGTAATCCTGGATCTGAATACAAACTCATAACCAAAGAGATCGATCCGGGAGTTCATCAATTCACCTCTGTTTTTTGGGTATTTGGGCCTTCGATTGAGGGGTTTAAATTTTGTCGGCCTATTCTTAGCATTGATGGCACACACTTATACGGTAAATACAAGGGTGTACTGCTTGTTGCTACAGGAGTTGATGCAGATGGTGGCTTATTTCCTTTGGCCTTCGCCGTTGTGGAGGTCGAGAACAGTGAAAATTGGGAGTGGTTTTTTTCTTGCATTCAATTATATATTTTTAATGTGTTGCCTCCTAGAAAAATTACTTTCATATCTGATAGGATGAAAGGTATTCCAAAAGCATTGTGGAGGAGATTTGGCTCTCATCACCATCATCGCTATTGCTTACGACACATTAGGCCTAACTTCAAAAAGAGCTTTAGTCAGATTCATTTACAAAACCTTCTGTGGCAAGCGGGTTGTACGCCGGAAACATATGTGTATGATCGGATACGGGATCAAATCAAGACAACATCTCAAGCTGCACATGATTGGATTGAGAGAAGTCTGGGCAGTGATTACGTCGACCGGTGGGCACTCAGTAAAGATGGAGGGAATCGGTTCTGCATGATGACAACCAATTGTTCTGAAAGCTTCAACGGGGTACTTAAGGGGGCTCAGGCAATGCCCATACAGGCGTTGGTTGCGAGGACATTTTATAGGCTCAATTACTATTTTGTCAAGCGGCGAGAGGATGGAGCAATGTGGGCCTCGTTCTTGACACCAAAAAATGAGGCGATTTTAGAAGCTCGAGTTAAGCAGGCGAGAGGCACGAAGATTGTTAGATTTGCTGTAGATGAATGGGAGGTTACAGACAAGCATGGTCACAATTACACCGTCAATTTGGGAGGTGCACATTGCACATGCACCTGTAACATACCAGAATTGCAAAAATTGCCTTGTCCACATGTCATAGCGGTTACGTCTAAGCAATCGGGGGGTGCAAATATTTCGTATTACATATACGCATCTGAGTGGTATCAATCAAGCAACTATAGAGAGGCATATAAGCAGTGTTTCCACCCCGTACATGATAGTCGTTATTGGCCACACTATAACGGGCCGCATGTGGTGCCTCCAAGCTATAAGAGACAAGTCGGACGCCCACAACCAGTACGCTTAAAAGGTACTATGGATGAAGGCCGGGAAGGAGCTCCGAAAAAAAATAGATGTGGATATTACAGACAAGCCGGGCATAGAAGATCTCATTGCCTGACCAATCCAAATAGATAGCAATTAATGGGTACAATTTTATACATTTGTAATTTCATTCTAACTCATTTATAGATCAATGCTTATAAAAAACTCAAACAATGCTTATAAATCAATGCTTATAGTAAAATCAATTTTTTTCTAACTCAATTATAGATCAATTAATGTATCATCGTTATATGTGCAGATATTTCAGTTATGGAGGCGGGTCCATTGACACGTGATGTTCTTTATGACCAAGAGCGCCACCGATCCGCGAAGATAGACGCTGGGGAGGTAAAGTGCAATTTTATTATTTTCAATTATATATAAATTTCAATGTAGTTGATTGTTACTGAACATTTGCACTGTTTACTACATGCAGGCCCCGAGTATTACTATTGTCGATCATACCCGTGCACACTCTAGCTGGGAGTTGACGGATCCACAGATACAATATTATGTGCGTCAAGCCGGCTTTTTTGAGTGTTCACAAATTAAATGGGTAAGACTTGATTGGGCACTTTTGACGGCATTGGTTGAATGATGGAGGCCCGAGACAAATACTTTCCATCTGCGCCAAGGAGAGGCGACGATTACCTTACAGGATGTTGGGGTTATACTTGGCCTCATAGTAGATGGTGATGCAGTGACGGGCAACGATGACTTCCACTATGGCACTAAGTGTGACCAATTGTTGGGTCACACTCCTACAATGAAGGGGGGAAAGATCAAACTCGAATGGTTAAGGAATAACTTTATGAATGTACCGATCGATGCGACTGATGAGATCATTAAGCGCTATGCCCGTGCATATATTTTACATATGATCGGTACTATTCTGTTTCCGGATTCCACTAAGGATTCCGTGCACGTGAGATGGTTACCGCTTCTTGGGGACCTAGAAGAGTGTGGAGAGTTATCTTGGGGGAGTGCAGTGTTAGCCTACTTGTATAGAGAGATGACGAAAATAGCACTCGTACAAAATAAAGAATTGAAGGGCTGCCTCACTTTGCTGCAGATATGGTCATGGGAGCGATTGCATATGGGAACACCTGATTTGAGGGAGGCCCGCGCTCTCGATGGGCATATTCCGTTAGGCTGCAGGTATTATTAAGATGCATGTAATTTTAGTGCTTTATTTCAATATATACTAACCCGTTGTATATAAAATAGATGGAATGTGTCCAGATCTTGGCAAACCTCTCCAAAGGGGCATGAAAACTTTTACAGAAATGAGCTTGATCAGATGGAGGATGAACAGGTATAAAAATTATAATATCTAAATATATTCAATTATGCGACCAATTGTTACCAATATCTAAATATATTCATTCAATATCTCATAATATCTTCTTTATAGGTCAAATGGATGCCCTACGAGCTAGTGTTGGAGTCACTACCGGATATTTGCCGAGAAGGTGAGGATGTATGGCGTGCTCGCGTCCCCCTTATATGCTTTGAGATTGTCGAAATGCACTTGCCTGACCGTGTGCTTCGACAATTTGGACTACGGCAACATATTCCAGCGCCTGTGGAGAGAATAGAGAGAGATCCAAGAAAAGGTGCACATCGTGCTAATTGGCAAATAATTCGCCAAAATTACATCCATAGGTGGGTTTTAAGGGAGGAACAGGTAGTGATGGAGAGGGCTGATGCACCTGACCTAGGTGTGTACCTACGGTGGTATTGGGGGATTACTCGCCGGTGGATATTTCAGGAAAACAAAGCCCCGAAGGAGTACATACCAAGAGGCCCAGTCGAGAGAGAGTTGATAAGTGTATAAGAAAAATATACAATTATTTTCTAAGTTTTTTTATTTTCTCACCATCCACTTGATAATAATTTTCTTTCGGTTTTTATTTTATAGGTACAAGAGCTCGAGGAGCTTTCTACTATGGCACATGACGCATTGCGCACGACTACCGAGCAGGAGCCGAGGAACATGTTCCTTCGAATGATAAAAAAGATACGGTCGGCTCTTCAGAGGACGCGTCATGCAAGCCGTGATGGACGGGAGGAGCGACCAATTGAGTATGGGCGGCGACGTCGACGAGATCACACGGGGGCGGGATCAAGCTGTGCGCATGATGAAGCTGGCGGCTCACAGCAGACTCAGGCCGGATGTTCACAGGCGGTTCGAGACGACGCGGATGTCATGCACTCCCAACTTCACACACAACCGGACGAGGAACTTATCCTAGCTCACGTCAAAGGTGATCGAGGAAGGGGGAGAGGAAGAAGAGGGAGAGGGAGAGGGAGAGGGAGAGGGAGAGGGAGGGGAAAGGGCGTTGTTGATATTTGTTAAGTTTTGATGAACTTGATAGGATGTTTGCGTTTGAGTTGCAATTTGGACTTGATATGTTGTTTGTGTTGCGATGGATTTGATATAATGTTAAGTTTGCGAATATGAATTGTACGTATTATATTTGTGTTTGTGATTGTATTGTGAATTGATAACAGGAGTATGATTGCATTTTAGCATGTGTTATTTGTGATTACATTGTGTACTACAGGAAGTGTGAGTTTTCCAAGTAAATGTGGGCTGGAATGGGCTCTGCTAAATGGTCGGGGTTGGCAACCGCGACCATTTCGTCGCTGATGTTTGCTGCGCTCTGCTAAATGGTCGGGGTTGCCAACCCCGACCATTTTGTCCGTGGTTCAGCCCAGCTAGCGCTGGGTGCACAAAATGGTCGGGGTTCCCAACCCCGACCATTTAGTGAAGCTGTTAGCGGGCGCTGAACTAAACAGTCGGGGTTGCCAACCCCGACTGTTTACGAAGACGATTAAAAATTAATCGACCAGCTTTCTCGCCACGACGCTGACGTGGCGAGAAAACCGGTCGATTTCAGTAAATAAAACTGGCTACAGTCGATTTCGGTAATAAAAAGTGAAAAAGTGGCTACAGTGAAAATTTGTTCTATTTTTGTTCATCTATTTTTGTTGTTTGTACTGATTTTGTGTAGTCTAGAGTTAACTGGGTGGTCAATATTAAGGCGATCATTTAACATCTTCTTGTGTCAGTCGTTGCATGTTGCTCCCCAATTTTGGAAAAAATTTTAAAATCCATATTTTTTAAATTTTAATTAGAAAATTCAACATGTTTAACATGTAATTAGCATTTTTTATCACTTTCAGCTATCTGGCTAAAACTGGGTCGAAAATGCTAAATAAGTTGACAAAAACTTCACTGAATTGAGAATCTTGTGAAGTTTAGCACGAAATTAAGCCTCCAGCTAACCAAAACAATCTTCATGGGATTGCCAATCCATGACGTATTGTTTCATTGCAAACTTCATGGAAATGGCAATCCCGTCAAGCTGCACAGCACCACCAACATAACTCAACACCCTAAAAAACTTCACGAGATTCTGAATCTTATGAAGGTATAGTGTGATCTCACAGAGACTTCGAACTCTCCGTGGAGCTACCCTGCAACTTCATGGGATTCAGAATCCCGTGAAGTTACCTGACCCCACACCTTACTTATACCGCATATATTCTCTCTCTCTCTCTCTCTCTCTCTCTCTCGTTATTTCTCTCTTGTTCTTTCTCTCTCTCGATCTCTCCTCCCTCTCTCCCCCACAAAGAGAGTTAGATCCACCACCTTGTTCTTGACCATCTCCAACCCACCTCTATACTCTGACCATCTCCGATCACGTTTCTCCACCGCCGCCGACCTCCATTGGACCAAAGTTCACAAGAGTTTATCGGAGTTTGTAGGATCTCAAACTTAGGGCTTGAACTAGCTTTTAGTAAAATCTTTAAACTTTTTTAAATTTTCTCCTAATTTTTTACATATTCTCGATATTTCATCATGGCTTGTTTTAGTTTAGATTTTGGATTAATTTAAAAAAAAATTGGAATTTTGTGAAGAAAAATAAGAAATTTTGATGGGAAATTAGGAAAATTTAAAAAAATAGTGAATTAAAATGTTAAAAGCGAATGTTGTTCAAATTATTTAAATTAAGGAATTGTAAAAATTAGGGAAATGAAAATTTTAGGGTTTGACCTATGGTAAAAATTAGGAAATTGTAAAAATTAAGTGTAAAATTTTAAAATTAGGGAATTTAACTATAAATTTTATTTTTAGTATTCTTCATGTAATACTAGTTAATATTGAAATTTTTTACTCCTCAAAGATAATGATGAACGATTGATTCCTAATTCTTTGTTCGTATGGTGGAAAGATTAACTATCTCGAGAATAATATGTGTGTATATGAAGGAGATGTGTCAAAACCATTGTTGATATCCAAATCATGTACTTTTGATGGATTGGTTAATGACTTACACCAACTTACATTACCCAATCCACGTGAGTATCACCTCAACTTGATTTGTAATTATCCCATAACAGGGAATATAACAAGCGGCATTCAAATCTCAAGTGACTATGATATGGGTCTTATCTTCATATTGAATGGCGAGAAGCATTCGGTGGAATTATTTATTGAATAACACACTACAATGGAGTTCACACATGTAGCAATCCTCGATTAAAGATGAATCGTAACTATGGATCTGCCTCTTTCATATATTGATTGATTATGTCTAAACTAAGGAAGGATCTCAATCTAAGGCCAAAGGATATTCATATTTTAGTGCATGAAGCGACCACCTTGGACTTATCATACAGCAAGTGTTAGAATGCTCAAAGGAAGACCATGATAAAAATATTCAGAGATTAGGAGATCTCTTATGAGATATTACCATATTATCTTGAAGCACCCAAAAAAGAATATCCGGGGACAATGTAAAAAATATTATCAGAACCTATTAACATCGGAGATAGACGATTCATAAGGGTGTTTTGGGTATTTTGTCCTTCCATCAAGGGATTCAATTATTGTCAACCTGTTCTTCGCATTAACGGTGCCCACTTGTATGATAAATATAAAAGCGTATTGCTCGTTGTAACTGAACTAGATGCAGATGGCGGTTTATTTCCTTTGGCCTTTGCAGTTGTTGATGTTGAAAACACCAAAAATTGGTCATGGTTTTTTGCATGTGTTAGTTATCATATTCCTAGTGTGTGAATGT